TGTCTGAGTCTGTCCTGATACCGTGCGGTCAGTCATCACATTAGATATAGACCTGGTGCTGTCTGAGCCTGTCCTGATACTGTGCGGTCAGTCATTACATTAGATATAGACCCGACACTGTCTGAGTCTGTCCTGATACCGTGCGGTCAGTCATTACATTAGATATAGACCCGACACTGTCTGAGCCTGTCCTGATACCATGCGGTCAGTCAGCACATTAGATGTAGACCCGACACTGTCTGAGCCTGTCCTGATACCGTGCGGTCAGTTATTACATTAGATATAGACCTGGTGCTGTCTGAGCCTGTCCTGATACTGTGCGGTCAGTCATTACATTAGATATAGACCCGACACTGTCTGAGTCTGTCCTGATACCGTGCGGTCAGTTAGCACATTAGATGTAGACCCGACACTGTCTGAGCCTGTCCTGATACCGTGCGGTCAGTTATTACATTAGATATAGACCTGGTGCTGTCTGAGCCTGTCCTGATACCGTGCGGTCAGTCATTACATTAGATGTAGACCCGACACTGTCTGAGCCTGTCCTGATACCATGCGGTCAGTTAGCACATTAGATGTAGACCCGACACTGTCTGAGCCTGTCCTGATACCGTGCGGTCAGTTATTACATTAGATATAGACCTGGTGCTGTCTGAGCCTGTCCTGATACCATGCGGTCAGTTAGCACATTAGATGTAGACCCGACACTGTCTGAGCCTGTCCTGATACCGTGCGGTCAGTTATTACATTAGATATAGACCAGGCACTGTCTGAGCCTGTCCTGATACCGTGCGGTCAGTTATTACATTAGATGTAGACCCGGCACTGTCTGCGCCTGTCCTGATACCATGCGGTCAGTCAGCACATTAGATATAGACCCGGCGCTGTCTGAGCCTGTCCTGATACCGTGCGGTCCATCATTACAAGAGATATAGACCCGGCGCTGTCTGAGCCTGTCCTGATACCGTGCGTTCAGTTATTACATTAGATATAGACCTGGTGCTGTCTGCGCCTGTCCTGATACCGTGCGGTCAGTTATTACATTAGATGTAGACCCGACACTGTCTGAGCCTGTCCTGATACCGTGCGGTCAGTCATTACATTAGATATAGACCCGACACTGTCTGAGCCTGTCCTGATACCGTGCGGTCAGTCATTACATTAGATATAGACCCGACACTGTCTGAGTCTGTCCTGATACCGTGCGGTCAGTTATTACATTAGATGTAGACCCGGCGCTGTCTGAGCCTGTCCTGATACCGTGCGGTCAGTCATTACATTAGATATAGACCCGGCGCTGTCTGAGCCTGTCCTGATACCATGCGGTCAGTCAGCACATTAGATATAGACCAGGCGCTGTCTGAGCCTGTCCTGATACCGTGCGGTCAGTCAGCACATTAGATATAGACCAGGCGCTGTCTGAGCCTGTCCTGATACCGTGCGGTCAGTTATTACATTAGATATAGACCCGGCGCTGTCTGAGCCTGTCCTGATACCGTGCGGTCAGTTATTACATTAGATATAGACCTGGTGCTGTCTGAGCCTGTCCTGATACCATGCGGTCAGTCAGCACATTAGATATAGACCCGACACTGTCTGAGCCTGTCCTGATACCGTGCGGTCCGTCATTACAATAGATATAGACCCAACACTGTCTGAGCCTGTCCTGATACCGTGCGGTCAGTCATTACATTAGATATAGACCCAACACTGTCTGAGCCTGTCCTGATACCGTGCGGTCAGTCATTACATTAGATATTGACCCTGCACACGCTGGGATGGCACAACCTGGCCTGGTTGCAGATGTTGAGGACTTAGTCTCCATCTTACAGGTTGGGTGGATTCTACACAATCTGTGACCAATTGCTGCAGTAAACACTCCAATCTGGATTTGGAATAAGCTATTAGTGTTAATGTCCCTCGTTAGGAGTAATTACCCTTCGAGACAAAGCAGGGCTGAGACTCACTAAGATGAAGGGGTTTTCATCCAGAGCCGCAACTTGGATATTAACTCCTTGTCTGCCAGTGATTCTGAGTTTAACCTTTTATTCTATCATGGGGATTACAGTCGACACCACCCCTTGCGCCTGATCTACAGAAATAGGACATGTCCTACTGAGGCTACTCTTCTCAGCACTCGTAGATACCTCTTCCAGGTGTTAATGTGCTGATTTTACAATAATTCATTCTGCCCCAAAGAGCTTTAAGTTTAGTTGTAACCGGAGAAGGGTAGACAACTTTCTTCAAAGAGCTGATATTTGATGAATCACATAAGACCTATAAATAATATGTTGGCAAAATCTGGGCCATGCAACTTACAATCTAGTCATAAAAAAAACAGGCATTTAAACACGGCGTACTCAAAGGACTATACCATGTAGCGGCCCAGTAACAAAGAAAGTTTATTAACAAATTCTACTGTACAACAGAGAGACACCACATAGCTCGTATGATATATTAAAACTGTAGGAGAACTGCAAAAAAATGGGCCAAAGAGCTTACTTTCCAATTGTATGCAAGATGAACTTGCCAGAGGAGCTGACCATCTATCTTTAAATGGGCATCTGACAATTATTCCTGCTCTGACAGTATGCAGTGTGGGTTTCCATTCGACATTCAAGCTATCATGTTTCCTCAATCAGAAAGATTCTCCAAAGAGTTAAAAAGTCAGCCTTTTATTGCCAATTCTCCCCAAATGGTTGTTCTCAGAAAACTATTTATAGCCCCAAATTAACCTCCCACCTTCCATCTCAGGAGAGAGCAGTGGAATTGCTGGAAGCTGGACTGATTTAGTCTAATTGAGCAGAATTAAGGGTGAAATATTCTCATTAAAGGGCAGGGCGGATTGTCTGTTGGTAACATGTTTTTGGTTGTTGGCGTTGACCCAGGCGCTGAGTTAAGGAACAGAATAATCATTGCAGAGCTTGGAAGGGGGCTAAACAGAGTGCTGGCTGGGAGTATTTGTTCCAATTGGTGAAGACTATTAGATGACAATACTGTACTCACCGGAGTCACCTTTATTGAAGCAGAACTGACCTTCTAGACAAACATCCAATGTATTCTACAAAAGGTCCCCAAGCATATATAAATCATTTTTAGGCCTTACTTTGTCACAAACAGTATTTGTATGTGCAATGTGTTTTTGTAAAGTAAATTGATGCATTTATCTTGCTTTCCCTTGCAGCTAAAGTCTACCTTTACCCCCCTCCCTCCCCCACCCAAACCCCCTCCACCCCTCTTCCCCACCTCCCCACCCCCCAAATTAATTCTATAGCACACCTCTGCACTTTTTCGGGTTCTAAAATATTTTTCTTTAATGCCGGTGTCCAAAGTGACGTTTACTTTCTTAGTATAGCTACTAAAATTAGGAAAAAGAGCGGAGAATGCATTTTGTCACCAGAATCCTTCAGCTGACGTCATCGTTCATGGTGAGTGATATTGTGACAAGGTTCATATCTGACTAGTCGCTCATGTTGGCTGCAAAGGCCAATGGATTGTGTTCTCGTGACTTTACAAAGGCAGATTGCTGCTATAATGCACCTCTCGGCGCATGCCAGGGTATGTGCTTCCTTCCTCCGGTAAGGGCATTGATCAGTTGGACCTTACAAGCTGATGAAGACTATACCAGGTACCAAAAATCATGAGAAATATGTGTATATCCTTCCAATAATGCCATTATGTAAATAAGCGGTAAAATACTCAGATGTAAACGCAATGTTCCTTGCTTTGCTAATAAAATATGTTAAATAAAAGTCGTCGCTCATCGGCATTCTTAATGATCAGGAAACGATAAATAATTTGGGAGAAAGGGAGAAAATTTGTTTAAATTCAGATTGCTGAGTGGATTTGGGGCAAATTAGCCTTTTCAGCAATAGTTACTTTTCTTTTTTAAATTTAATTAAAGGAATTGTTCAATGCGCGAAGTGACATTTCTAAGATGGCGAGGGTTAAATTGCCAAATTATTAGTAAGGGACTGTTTTGGGGTGAATGGGCCATTTCAAGGGAGTTTTTTTCAGGTTAGATATTTGGTCAGGCATAATGGTATCTTAATTTATTTTGATTATTTTTAAGTATACAGTTTGATGAGTTTGTCACCAAAACAACCCCCATCCCAGCTGCCAACCGCCTGTCATTCTCCTTCAGGGAATTTTGTCATTTTTGTAACTTCTCCAAGGAATTATGTGTTGACAAAAAAAAAAAGCGGAAAACCCAGCAGGTTCTCTTGGTAAATGACTATCCATTGTGTTGGACATTGTTTTGTGTCTGTGTGGAGGAGATCCTCAGGGAATGCTGCCATCACAAAAGCGTCTTTAGAAAGTCAACGGGTTGGCATTGCGTCCAGGATATGGAGCAGTGTCTTCTCCACCATGGCCAGCTGCCCTGAGGCTTCAGCCAGGGCAAGGCAGGTGTCTGAGATCTGCTGTAACTTCTGGTAGGAAACATGTCAGGAATGTGTGGTCTGTAAAGGCAGAGCCTCCCAGGAGGTAGAAAGTGAGAGAGGGCTGAAAGAGACTTGTCACCGTTCACATTCTTGGAATACACACTTCTTTTAAAGGGCATCTGTGACGAGATGATCCAGCAGGCCAACTAGAGATAAAGACAAGAAAAGGGTATAAGGAAGACTCCAGTTATTGGAGAGCTCTGACACAGTCCATGGTGTATGCGGCATTCTCTAGGTCCTTGTGGGGTTCAAAGAGCAGATTCTCAGGTTGAAAGAGGAAGGTTTCCGAATGATGGGGCAAGTTTATCTAGGCCATATTCTCTGGGTGAATACACAGGGGCGTGAGATGACGGGGCAGATTCTCTGGGTGAATAACTAGGATTTTGGGGTGAAGCATCAGATCCTGTGGGTGAAAAGCAGCCAGGATGTAGTAGGTGAATTATTATTATTATTATTTATATGGCTCCAACAACTTCCACAGCGCTGTACAATGAGTGGACTAACAGACACGTAATTGTAACCAGACGAGTTTGACACACATGAACAGAGGGATTGAGGGCCCTGCTCAGTGAGTTTACATGTTAGAGGGAGTGGGGTATAGTGACACAGTAACAGAGGGATTGAGGGCCTGCTCAGTGAGTTTACATGTTAGAGGGAGTGGGGTATAGTGACACAGTAACAGAGGGATTGAGGGCCTGCTCAGTGAGTTTACATGTTAGAGGGAGTGGGGTATAGTGACACAGTAACAGAGGGATTGAGGGCCTGCTCAGTGAGTTTACATGTTAGAGGGAGTGGGGTATAGTGACACAGTAACAGAGGGATTGAGGGCCCTGCTCAGTGAGGTTACATGCTAGAGGGAGTGGGGTATAGTGACACAGTAACAGAGGGATTGAGGGTCCTGCTCAGTGAGTTTACATGTTAGAGGGAGTGGGGTATAGTGACAGTAACAGAGGGATTGAGGGCCTGCTCAGTGAGTTTACATGTTAGAGGGAGTAGGGTATAGTGACAGTAACAGAGGGATTGAGGGCCCTGCTCAGTGAGTTTACATGTTAGAGGGAGTGGGGTATAGTGACACAGTAACAGAGGGATTGAGGGCCTGCTCAGTGAGTTTACATGTTAGAGGGAGTGGGGTATAGTGACACAGTAACAGAGGGATTGAGGGCCTGCTCAGTGAGTTTACATGTTAGAGGGAGTGGGGTATAGTGACAGTAACAGAGGGATTGAGGGCCCTGCTCAGTGAGTTTACATGTTAGAGGGAGTGGGGTATAGTGACACAGTAACAGAGGGATTGAGGCCTGCTCAGTGAGTTTACATGTTAGAGGGAGTGGGGTATAGTGACACAGTAACAGAGGGATTGAGGGCCCTGCTCAGTGAGTTTACATGTTAGAGGGAGTGGGGTATAGTGACACAGTAACAGAGGGATTGAGGGCCTGCTCAGTGAGTTTACATGTTAGAGGGAGTGGGGTATAGTGACACAGTAACAGAGGGATTGAGGGCCTGCTCAGTGAGTTTACATGTTAGAGGGAGTGGGGTATAGTGACAGTAACAGAGGGATTGAGGGCCCTGCTCAGTGAGTTTACATGTTAGAGGGAGTGGGGTATAGTGACACAGTAACAGAGGGATTGAGGGCCCTGCTCAGTGAGTTTACATGTTAGAGGGAGTGGGGTATAGTGACACAGTAACAGAGGGATTGAGGGCCCTGCTCAGTGAGTTTACATGCTAGAGGGAGTGGGGTATAGTGACACAGTAACAGAGGGATTGAGGGCCCTGCTCAGTGAGTTTACATGTTAGAGGGAGTGGGGTATAGTGACAGTAACAGAGGGATTGAGGGCCTGCTCAGTGAGTTTACATGTTAGAGGGAGTGGGGTATAGTGACACAGTAACAGAGGGATTGAGGGCCTGCTCAGTGAGCTTACATGTTAGAGGGAGCGGGGTATAGTGACACAGTAACAGAGGGATTGAGGGCCTGTTCAGTGAGTTTACATGTTAGAGGGAGTGGGGTATAGTGACACAGTAACAGAGGGATTGAGGGCCTACTCAGTGAGTTTACACGTTAGAGGGAGTGGGGTATAGTGACACAGTAACAGAGGGATTGAGGCCCTCCTCAGTGAGTTTACATGTCAAAAGGAAGTGGGGTATAGTGACACAGTAACAGAGGGATTGAGGGCCCTGATCAGTGAGCATACATGCTAGAGGGAGTGGGGTATAGTGACAGTAACAGAGGGATTGAGGGCCTGCTCAGTGAGTTTACATGTTAGAGGGAGCGGGGTATAGTGACACAGTAACAGAGGGATTGAGGGCCTGCTCAGTGAGCTTACATGTTAGAGGGAGCGGGGTATAGTGACACAGTAACAGAGGGATTGAGGGCCTGTTCAGTGAGTTTACATGTTAGAGGGAGTGGGGTATAGTGACACAGTAACAGAGGGATTGAGGGCCTGCTCAGTGAGTTTACATGTTAGAGGGAGTGGGGTATAGTGACACAGTAACAGAGGGATTGAGGGCCCTGCTCATTGAGTTTACATGTTAGAGGGAGTGGGGTATAGTGACACAGTAACAGAGGGATTGAGGGCCTACTCAGTGAGTTTACACATTAGAGGGAGTGGGGTATAGTGACACAGTAACAGAGGGATTGAGGCCCTCCTCAGTGAGTTTACATATCAAAAGGAAGTGGGGTATAGTGACACAGTAACAGAGGGATTGAGGGCCCTGATCAGTGAGCATACATGTTAGAGGGAGTGGGGTATAGTGACACAGTAACAGAGGGATTGAGGGCCCTGCTCAGTGAATTTACATGTTAGAGGGAGTGGGGTATAGTGACAGTAACAGAGGGATTGAGGGCCCTGATCAGTGAGCATACATGTTAGAGGGAGTGGGGTATAGTGACACAGTAACAGAGGGATTGAGGGCTCTGCTCAGTGAGTTTACATGTGAGAGGGAGTGGGGTATAGTGACACAGTAACAGAGGAATTGAGGGCCCTGCTCAGTGAGTTTACATGTGAGAGGGAGTGGGGTATAGTGACACAGTAACAGAGGGATTGAGGCCATGCTCAGTGAGTTTACATGTTAGAGGGAGTGGGGTATAGTGACACAGTAACAGAGGGATTGAGGGCCTACTCAGTGAGTTTACACGTTACAGGGAGTGGGGTATAGTGACACAGTAACAGAGGGATTGAGGCCCTCCTCAGTGAGTTTACATGTCAAAAGGAGGTGGGGTATATTGACACAGTAACAGAGGGATTGAGGGCCTGCTCAGTGAGTTTACATGTTAGAGGGAGTGGGGTATAGTGACACAGTAACAGAGGGATTGATGGCCCTGCTCAGTGAGTTTACATGTTAGAGAGAGTGGGGTATAGTGACACAGTAACAGAGGGATTGAGGGCCTGCTCAGTGAGTTTACATGTTAGAGGGAGTGGGGTATAGTGACACAGTAACAGAGGGATTGAGGGCCCTGCTCAGTGAGTTTACATGTTAGAGGGAGTGGGGTATAGTGACAAAGTAACAGAGGGATTGAGGGCCTGCTCAGTGAGTTTACATGTTAGAGGGAGTGGGGTATAGTGACACAGTAACAGAGGGATTGAGGGCCTGCTCAGTGAGTTTACATGTTAGAGGGAGTGGGGTATAGTGACACAGTAACAGAGAGATTGAGGGCCCTGCTCAGTGAGTTTACATGTTAGAGGGAGTGGGGTATGGTGACACAGTAACAGAGGGATTGAGGGCCTGCTCAGTGAGTTTACATGTTAGAGGGAGTGGGGTATAGTGACACAGTAACAGAGGGATTGAGGGCCTGCTCAGTGAGTTTACATGTTAGAGGGGGTGGGGGTATAGTGACACAGTAACAGAGGGATTGAGGGCCTGCTCAGTGAGTTTACATGTTAGAGGGAGTGGGGGTATAGTGACACAGTAACAGAGGGATTGAGGTCCTGCTCAGTGAGTTTACATGTTAGAGGGAGTGGGGTATAGTAACAGTAACAGAGGGATTGAGGGCCTGCTCAGTGAGTTTACATGTTAGAGGGAGTGGGGTATAGTGACACAGTAACAGAGGGATTGAGGGCCTGCTCAGTGAGTTTACATGCTAGAGGGAGTATAGTGACACAAAAGGTAAGGGTAGGGTAGAAAAGTAGGTCGCTAGAATAGTATGTGAGTTGCAGGAGAGGAAACGGGGTGCAAGGAGGGAAAGCTATTAAGTTTAGTTGATATGCTTTCCTGAAGAAGTGAGTTTTCAATAATTTTTTTAAGGAATGGTGACTGGGTGAACCTCTAATGGAGAGTCGGAGAAGGGAAGGGAGTTCCACAGGAACGGTGGGAGTAAAGACAGAACATAGATGTAGTTCTTCGGCAGAGTGTAGGGGCCTAGACGAGACATACTTTTGTATTAGGGAGGATAAATAGGTTGGAGCAGCATTATGTAGAGATAAGTACCAGACTCTTAAATTGAGCCCTATATCTTGCGGGAAGCCAATGCAGGGACTGACAGAGTGGGGAGGCGTGGGAGGAAGATGAGCATCGCCGATGCATTCATTGTAGACTGCAATGGGGCAAGTTGGGTACACGTAATTTTTTCAACCGTGCAAGTCCCTAGCAAATATCCAACATCTCAGATTATTAGGGTGTCAGGGGAGCACGCTGTTACTGTGTCATGTTTATGTCACGTGACCTGTGTAGTCTTTCTCCTTAGAAAGTGTATCCATGTTTTAATTGAGATTCATTTATCAAGTGATTTTTAAATCCAGAAGGTTAGATTTGTCAAGAAAAAGATTTTTAGGAGCAACTAAATCCCATGTGTAACAGGTAGTGTGTAATGTTTGTGCTATTATCATGGGATACTTTTCTCTCATTCTGGATTTTCCTAGATGTGTAATAGATGAAGTATGTACTAAGCAAATAGGAGGCTCAGTGCTCTATGGGTACCATAGGTCTGCAGCCAGAGTGTGGCCATTGGAGAGAGTCATTATTAAACAGTCGCTGTGGCCATTGGAGAGAGCCATTGATAATCAGTCATTGTGGCCATTAGAGAGAGCCATTATTAATCAGTCGCTGTGGCCATTGGAGAGAGCCATTATTAATCAGTCGCTGTGGCCATTGGAGAGAGCCATTATTAATCAGTCGCTGTGGCCATTGGAGAGAGCCATTATTAATCAGTCGCTGTGGCTATTGGAGAGAGCCATTATTAATCAGTCGCTGTGGCTATTGGAGAGAGCCATTATTAATCAGTCGCTGTGGCCATTGGAGAGAGCCATTATTAATCAGTCGCTGTGGCCATTGGAGAGAGCCATTATTAATCAGTCGCTGTGGCCATTGGAGAGGCATTATTAACTAGTCGCTGTGGCCATTGGAGAGAGCCAATATTAACCAGTCGCTGTGGCCATTGGAGAGAGCCATTATTAACCAGTCGCTGTGGCTATTGGAGAGAGCCATTATTAACCAGTCGCTGTGGCCATTGGAGAGAGCCATTATTAATCAGTCGCTGTGGCCATTGGAGAGAGCCATTATTAATCAGTCGCTGTGGCCATAGGAGAGAGCCATTATTAATCAGTCGCTGTGGCCATTGGAGAGAGCCATTATTAATCAGTCGCTGTGGCCATTGGAGAGAGCCATTATTAATCAGTCGCTGTGGCCATTGAGAGAGCCATTATTAATCAGTCGCCGTGGCCATTGGAGAGACATTATTAATCAGTCGCGGGCCATTGAGAGAGCCATTATTAACCAGTGGGCCATTGAAGAGAGCCATTATTAGTCAGTCGCTGTGGCCATTGAGAGAGCCATTATTAATCAGTCGCTGAGGCCATTGGAGAGAGCCATTATTAATCAGTCGCTGTGGCCATTGAGAGCCATTATAAATCAGTCGCTGAGGCCATTGGAGAGAGTCATTATTAATCAGTTGCTGTGGCTATTGGAGAGAGCCATTATTAATCAGTCGCTGAGGCCATTGGAGAGAGTCACTATTAACCAGTCGCTGTGGCTATTGGAGAGAGCCATTATTAATCAGTCGCGGCCATTGAGAGAGCCATTATTAATCAGTTGCTGTGGCTATTGAGAGAGTCATTATTAATCAATCTATGTGGCCATAGTAGAGAGCCATTATTAATCAGTCGCTGTGGCCATTGAGAGAGCCATTATTAATCAGTCGCTGTGGCCATTGAGAGAGAGCCATTATTAATCAGTCGCTGTGGCCATTGGAGAGAGCCATTATTAACCAGTCGCCGCGTGAGAGAGCCATTAACCAGTCGCCGTGGCCATTGGAGAGAGCCATTATTAACCAGTCGCCGTGGCCATTGGAGAGAGCCATTATTAACCAGTCGCCGTGGCCATTGGAGAGAGCCATTATTAACCAGTCGCCGTGGCCATTGGAGAGAGCCATTATTAATCAGTCGCCGTGGCCATTGGAGAGAGCCATTATTAATCAGTCGCTGTGGCTATTGAGAGAGCCATTATTAACCAGTCGCTGTGGCCATTGGAGAGAGCCATTATTAACCAGTCGCTGTGGCCATTGGAGAGAGCCATTATTAACCAGTCGCTGTGGCCATTGGAGCGAGACATTATTAATCAGTCGCTGTGGCCATTGGAGAGAGCCATTATTAACCAGTCGCTGTGGCCATTGAAGAGAGCCATTATTAATCAGTCACTGTGGCTATTGGAGAGAGCCATTATTAATCAGTCGCTGTGGCCATTGGAGAGAGCCATTATAAATCAGTTGCTGAGGCCATTGGAGAGAGTCATTATTAATCAGTCGCTGTGGCCATTGGAGAGAGCCATGATTAATCAGTCGCTGTGGCCATTGGTGAGAACCATTATTAATCAGTCGCTGTGGCCATTGGAGAGAGCCATTATTAATCAGTCGCTGTGGCTATTGGAGAGAGCCATTATTAATCAGTCGCTGTGGCCATTGGAGAGAGCCATTATTAATCAGTTGCTGTGGCCATTGG